CACACACACACACACACACACACAGGAGCACAGAAATATGTACACAGGCAAATGCAGACAGACACACTTGTGGGCATACTTCCATCACAGACATGTGCTCAGACACTACCATGCATACAGACACATGTGTGTCTACATGTCTGTGCAGGTGCACATACCCCGCACAGGTGTGATGATGCACTAGTTGTGCTGAATATGAATTTCCAAATGCACAGGTCCTCCTTATGGATAAACTCAGGAATATAGGCTTTTTGTAATAAGCCATTGGAGAAATGATCAAGTAGCATGTTGGTATAACAATAATTTCAAAGAGATTTTTTAAAATATCAATTCCAACTTAACATTCTCATATTAAACACTGAAATTTTGGCTGTTTTCCAAAGAACATATTTATCTTACTTTACTAAATGCAAGAAGATAGTCATATGAAGAATCAATAAATTTGGGGAACAAATGTGTTCATAAGAATAACATTTATATTCAGTCATTCACTGCATTCAAAAAGAACATATTCGTGTACATATCTATAAGAACTGGCAAACTTGGTAAATTCAGCAAACTGGCCGTTAGTTGGCCTGAATTAGGAGGGGGTCCCACCCCTTCCTTCAGCCTTCCAACCTCCACCCTTAGTTCCTGAAACTCCTTTGAACACAGATTGAAAATCACTGATCTATCCCTGAATGCAATTCCATTCCATGACCCATCCCTCAAATACCCATTTTAAGAGGAGGAAAACTAAGGCCCGGAAAGGAAGTGACTTGCTCAAAGTCAACAGCTAGTTGGGCCAGAAATAGGACCAGGTCTTCAACTCCAAATCTGGGATCAGTCCCTTCCCTAAAGGCTCAGAATACCCCTGACCTTGACCCCCACCTATCATGTAACTACAGTCCCCCACCCCACCCCTGGCTAAAGATCGGCAGGGGCTGAGCATAATGAGGGATGGCTCAGCAGGAGGACACCTGAAGGCCCACCCTCCCCACCAGGCCTGAGAAGGGACCCTCCCAAACCTGTGCCCTGGCCCTCACCGGTAATGCTTATCCCACTCAGGCCTCCGACGCAGGTCTGAGAGCAGCAGAAAGGCCTGGGCTGTATCCACATGCACCAACATCTCCATGTGGAAGGACAGGTACTTGTCATCCTCCAGAGTGTACAGGCGGACCTATGTGGGAGAGAATAAGGGCGGCCTTATTCCTGTAGCCCCTACTCAGACTATGCTAGGTAGTGGGGTGGGCTGACTGGGATGCTGGAGGCCAGGGTTGGAAGCTCAGGGCTCCCACTGACTCACTGTGTCAGTATGAACAAGCAACGCAACCTCTCTGAGCCTCGGTCTCATCCCTATGAAAATGGCTGAGAGCATTCAGCACAAGTGGACAGGATGGTGTCTTAAGCAGTGATGGAGGCAACAATGAAATGGATCCTCAGAGCCAAGCACCCATCCAACCCCATAACGTCACGGGTGGGGAAGCGACCCCTCCCAGACAAGAGTGGCAGAGCTGGTCTTCCCTCAGCCCATGCTTGTTCACTGGCCTCCCATCCTGGCAGTGACTCACAGTAGAAGCAGTAGAAGGAGCAGAGAGAGAGGAAGGAAGCAGCTGGGCAGAGAGCAGTAGAGATGAGAGATGCGGGCAAGGAGGTGGAAAAGCAGGAGAGAATTCTCTGCTCTAGGCCCTGTGGGCTCTATGTTTCTATAACGGGGTCAGTTTCATGACCTTATCCGTTCCTTTTAAGAAATCCCCCTTTTGACACCAGTGGTTTGAGAGTTTCTGTTGCTTGCAGTCAGTCACCTCTGGTTGCTCGGAGGAGAAATGGTGGGTGGGTGATCAGCTACCTGGTTGATCTCTGAGGACAGCACCCAGTTGTCTTTGGCCACAAGCATCTTCAGGGAGGAGACGTTGTTGTAGCTCAGGTACACCTGGATAGGGCACACAGAGAAGCCTCACCTTCTCCGCTTCCACTGAGGCCACACTGGGGTTGGGGAGAGGAACTTAGATCATGAAGGAGGGTGGGTACTGGGCTTTGGGGAAGGAGGCCCAGGCCTGGCCAGACACGCCCAGTGACCCTGGACAAGCTGCTTCTCCTCTCTGGCCTGTCCCCTTCAGGCCTACCTCCAAACCCACTCCAACAACAGGGGAAGGTTGGGAGTGGCCCTGGTGGGCCCGAGGACTTTCCCCTCAGAGCAGAGTGTCTTACCTGATTGCTAGGGTCCCAGGGGACAGAGAGGGGCATCTCTGCCTGCTTACAAGACACAATATACTTCCTAGGAGAGAAGGAAGATGACAACCTTGGTCCCTTGGGAGCCCATCTCTTTGGACAGACTTTACTGCAGGCCCACTGTGTGCCAGGCCCTGCACTCAGCCCAGCAGACGGGAGACTCCTGTCTGACCAGGAGACTAGATGGGTACACAGAACACAGCAGCAGGAACATACGAACTCAGTCAAAGGCAGGATGGGCCGGGAGGTTAAGGGTGCTGGGTAAAGACTCAGTGCTCCACACCCTTGCTGAGCTAAAGAGACTTCACGCTTATGCCTCAGTGTCCTCATCTATGAAATGGGATCAGTAGTCACAGCTGCCTAGTAGGGTCACCATGAGGAGAACAGTGCTCAGCATATGGTAAATGCAATGTAAATCACACTTTTAATAATGGATAGTGGTGGTGATTCCCAGTGTGTTCACAGCTCTTTCAAGTTTGTAAAGTGCTTCCTTAGCAGTCATTCACACCTGGGTTTGCATCTTCTCCTCCCCAGGCCTTTCTTTCCTCATCTGCCAAACAGGCATCAGACTTAATGGAAGGAACACAAGACTTAAAATTGG